TAACACTCATGGTCCAATGGTGAGCCAATAGTGCTATTGCATCATCTCACACTCGAAAGTGCAAGGCAATACGTTATATCCTCAACCTTGGACATAAAATTACATTTTTCAGTTACTTCTGGTTGTTTTTTTTTTTTTTTTTTTTTTTTTTTTGCCCTTTTCCAAACTAGCATGTTGTTGTATTTAGACAAAAGCTTTAATTTCTGGCAATTAATCAGTACGGCAACATCAGTACTTTTGTCTGCAATGTTGACAGTACTCCAGATTGCATTGGATGACCAACATTAAAAAGTGAGAAATGGTCATTAAAAAGTGAGAAAATGATGTTTTAATTAATAGTTTTGATATTTTCATGATCAATGTGAAAGGTTGTTGCCCTATCTGCTCATGTTAGACAACTAACTTATAACTTTTTTCTGGTTGGCAGAGGGGATTAAATCCATGATATCATTTTCGTACGTGTTCAATGAGAAAAGTAATAAATTTGATTATCGGAGATAACGCTGTTAAAAATAATAATCATATTAGAACTTTCATTAAATTAAATTAAATAATATATGATTCAGAATGCAATTTTTCTTAAATAACACAATCAAGGAATAAATTAACGTTTTCTGATGATTTTGAAGGCCATTAATTGGTTGTAAATTACCCCCGTATTTAATATTATTGCTGATTAAAGTCGTGGACAAAATATGGAGAACAAATAATATTATAATCTTTGGTCATCATTTGGATTGGATGTTGGTCGTAACTAAATCTAATAAATTAGTGATATGGTCGAAATCAATATGAGAGGGACACATGGAAGGAAATGGATGAGCATGACCGCTGCTTGCATAAGCTGCTATTGGAGCGAATTAGGTCTAGACTCTAAAGTCTAAACGACCTTCTTCAAGGATCTGCTAAAACTATATATATATATAATCATAAATGGTTTATGTTGAAGATTATTTTTTGATAAGCCAAACAAATTAATAGAAACACCAAGCAAAACTTGGCAAAGAATACAACAAGCAAGGAAAAACAGCATGAGAAGCTAACTCCATTAAAGACATCCAAAACAAACGAAGGAGCTGAAACAAAACAAAAGAAAGCAGAAGAGCATTTGGGGTTGAATCGGATGAGACTAAAAAAAAAAAAAAAACCAAGCTATAAATGTACTGATTTCTCTATTGATTTTCCGAAATTTAAGAATGATTATGATTTTTCATTTAAAAATGTTAAATGCAATAAATGGGTGTATCAATAGCCTGATTTCAGAGGAGTTGCAGGTTACAACTTGCCTTTCAATCCTTTTTCTTTTTCTTTTTTTTTTCTTTTTTTTTTTTGAGGGGGAGGGGAGGGCTTTTGTTATTGCAGGTTATAAAAATCTATTGAATTAGCAACGATTTAGACCGTCACTAATTCAAAAAAAAAATCATCGCTAATGCAATTTAGAGACGGTTTTGCAACGGTTTTTGCCGGTCGCTAAATTTTGTGATTGTTTTTGGACCTTCACCAATTTTGCAACGGACTAAATCATCGTTAAAATAAAAAAAAACATCGTAAAATATAGTAGTAAAACAAGGAAATATTTGCAACGGTGCTAAAAAAACCCTCGCCGAGTCCGTCACAATGTATTGAAAATTAGCGACGGTTTTGTCCGATTTTAATTTTTTTTCACCCTTAATTTAAATATCTAAAATTAACCAATTGCTATGTAAAAATTCTACTAAATATCCAAAACACAATATTTACAAATTTCATAATTATTAATATAAATTGTATTAAAATGTAATAAATGTTATTTAATTATTAAATTCTTGAAAACAAGTACAAAGTTTGTTGTTATTACAAGAAAACATGATAGCTAAGAGAAATTGTCCGAATCGTCACTCGGAGGTTGGGTGGAGTCATCGTTAGTCTTAGGTACAACGGATGAAGTACCACCTTGATGAAAATGTTGCTTGGAACATCTGTTGCATTTGTGTCATATTCGTATATTGCTTTTGACTATACTCTTTCAACTCATTTGTTGTAGCCAATGCATTTGTGCCATCATCATATGTTACCGTCCATGATCACTCGCTCGAATTAGTATCCGAACCATCACCCTCACCATATGACATGGGCCAATGCATCCCGAACATTCCTTACCTCGAGTCATTACGACCAACACATTATTACTAATTAGATTTATAATTAATAAAAATTTAAAATATTTCTAATAACTTAATATTTTTTTTACTAAATAATTTTTAAATTATTAATTAATTTTGTAATTACTTAACACCTTTACTTAATGAACCACTAAATAAACTTAATCGACCTTGAATTTTTTAATTACTAAATCAAAATTGAACAAGTATTAATTTTTTAAATACAATTTATTTATTTAGTTACAAAAAATTATAAATATTTCTAATAACTTAATTTTGTATCTACTAAATACAAGGGCACTCAAGCTTAATTTTTTAATTATTAATTAATATTCTAATTACTTAACTACTTAACTTAATGAACAACTAAATAAGCTTAATTACTAATTAATTTTAAAATTACTAAATAAATATTATAATTTAATTAATATTTAAACTATTAATTAATTTTTTAATTACTTAATATCTTTACTTAATGAACCACTAAATTAACTTAATCACTTATTAATTTTTTAATTACTAAATCAAAATTCAACAAGTGTTAATTCTTTAAATACTTTTTATTTATTTAATTACAAAAAATTTAAAATATTTCTCATAACTTTATTTGGCATCTACTAAATATAATTTCGAAAAAACTAAATAAAATATTTCTTAATTAATATTCTAATTACTTAACTTAATTAACAACTAAATAAGCTTAATTACTAATAAATTTTAAAATAACTAAAAAAATATTACAATTTAATTAATATTTAAATTTTTAATTAATTTTTTAAGTAAGAATTAACACATTAATTTACTTAATGAACAACTAAATAAAATTAATCACTAATTAATTTGTTAATTATTAATTATAAATTCAACAAGTATTAATTTTTTAATTAAAAATAAAATTAATTAAATCAAAAATCAACAATTAACAATTACAATAAAATTAACAATTAAACATTTAAACTATCACAACTAACAAAAATTAATACTAATTAAATTTTCTTAACAAATAAATTATCTAAATTAACAAATTACAATAATATTAATTAAATCACCAATTAACAATAACAACAACACATGCAATTAACAATAACAATTAATTAAATTAACAAACAATATTTAAATTATATTAACTAAATAATTGAAAAAATTAAAAAATAAAATGAGGGGTTGGATGGGGAGCACCTTTTACCAACACAAGGAGGAGAGGTGGTCGCGCTAGTTGAAGGACTTCACCAATCTTGTTTGGTCGAAAAACGACCAAGTGGAGGGAGAGAAGAAAACGGAAGAAAGAAAGAGGAAAAGAGGGAAAAAAGGGGCAAAGATGAAGGGAGAAAGGGAAGGAGGAGAGAGAGGAGAAGATTGGAAGGAAAATATGGGAGAGGGGGAAGATTTGATGGCAATTTTAGGTAAATTGACGCCGTCGTTGAAGGAGAAGAAGAGAGTTGGAGAGAGAAATTTTTTAAAAAAAAATTTCAAGAAGATGGGTTTGTTAAAGGTAAAGGTTTAGCGACGATCCATCGTTGCTAATTATCGATTTTTAAAAAAATTAAAAAATTTACAATTTCCCACCAACAGATTCATTTTAGCAAAGGTTTAGCGATTGTTTGGTAAACCATCGCTAATTTGAAATTTAGCAACGGTTTTTTTGAAAAAAACCTCAAAAAAACCATTGCAAAAATTGATTTTTAAATATAGTTTTTTTTTTCAAATTGCAATTTTAGCAACAGGTGTAGACAATCGCTAATGTTGAAATTTTGTAACAGCTTTTTTTGCAAAAAACCGTTGCAAAAATTAGTTTTTAATTTTTTTTTTTTTGAATTGAAATTTTAGCAACCGTTAGACCATCGCAAATTTTGGTTTTTAAATTTTTTTTTCAAATAAATATTTTACAAAAAATTAGCAATGGTCCAGTGGACCATCGGTAATTTCAATATTTGCAACAGCTTTTTCGGAAAAACCATTGCAAATACGGTACATATCCAAAAAAAAAATTCAAATCCGGATAATTAGCGACGGTTTGGTTAGACCGTCGCTAAAAACGATCATTTTGTGAAATTTTAGCTACGGTTTTTTAGATCCTCGCTAAAGCGAGTAAAATCGTCGCAAATTTTGTAAATCGGCAACGGTTTTTGGACTCGTCGCTAATTTTTCGTCGCAAATTCATCTTTTTGTTGAAGTGTCATTTGTTATTAAAACGTTTATATTTTTTTACCAAAAAATTAAAATTTAATTCCATTCATTTCCAAATATTATTTTTAAACATGAATAGTATGTATGCTTACATGTATAATTTTTAAACATAAGGCAAATATAATATATTAATTTCAGATATTGTGAGTTTCAAGTGTTAGAATCGTTTAATTACTAATAAAACTAAAAGATATAAGGTTTTTTTAACAATAAAATCACTGTTTATTTGAACAGTGCTTAGTGCCTTTTTCTTTTTTTCTTTTTTTGCCCTCCACGCTGACGTATAGTAATTAACTAATTCTACCTTTCTTGCTTGCTTTCATACCGAGTCACTTCTTGTTACTAAATTTCAAAATACCCTACTCACTGTATAAAAAAAAGAAAAAAACTATTGTATTGAAATATACAAAAACATTTGCCATTTAAGAATACTTGGGCCCCATCAAGAAGACTTTTTCTACCTCTATCCTATTTCTGCCGGTGACTTCACATATCGACCTAGGTGATCAAGGACTTGAAGATATTCCATGCTCAATCTTGCATTTGTGAGGTAACAAAACGCTCTTATTCTCATTTGTCGATGATCCAGGGACAAGTTGCATAACTGGATAGTGTTTCCCATGCTCTGTTGTAGAGTGTGGAGTTGTGTTCTGGTCCTAGATTCTTTTGCTGCTACGAAGTTTCTTGCAGACTTCTTATGGTCTCTTCCGACGGATCCTTCTCAAGTCTGTGGGAAAAGAGTTGGAAAGCGTCCAGTGAACTTTTAATCGAGAAAACGCAAAAGACGTATTGACTCATACTAAGTCCTTCAAAGAAATAAAAAGACTAGACTGAAGCAAACTGAGCAAGTTAGATAGATAATGTAGCTTTTTGATACAGAGTCATCGACATATGACTATTACTAGTCTGGGGTAATAATTTCAGATTCACAGCCAACATCCAGGAAACTAACTAAGGGATTAGCACTTTATTGACTAACAAGGCTCAAATCATTAGACCAGGTCATAAAATATCACTAGACCATAGAATTCCAAAAAAAAAAAAAAAAAAAAAAAACTATCCTTGATGATCATCCATGATCTGTTACAAAAATATGAGATCAAATTCCCATATGTTTGTGAAAATAAAATACAATTTCTAACATAACTAATAATTTTTATTTGAGAAGATCATCTTTGTAAGTGCCATTAATCTAAAAAATATGTGAAATATATACCGTATTTCAATATCATTCAATATTTTTTATTTTAAATTTTTATTCAAATATTATACAAAATAAATTTTATATTACTTAAAATTAGGATAAACCAACTCTTTTATTTAATATCTAACCAATCGTATAAAGATACGTGGTTAATAAAGATAAATAAAAAAAATTATTTGTTCTAATCTTGAATATTATATAATTGTATATCATATGTAGATAGATGAGTTTAAATAAACAATTATAAATAATGTAAGAACCGAAAAGTGTATTTAAAAAATGCAATAACCAGAAGCAGAATTCGAACAGCAAAATAGCAAGTTCAAGAGCCAGGACAATCTGTTCAGAGTTTATCAACCGACCTCCTCTCCCTCATGTGCCTCGCAATCAGCAACAAAAGACTCTCCTAGTTAAATTACTAATAGATTTTTGATGATAAATCAAATATAATAAAAACACATTACTAAGAATTTTTTTAATATTATACTTCATTTAATAAATTTACCCTCTTCAAAATTAAGCATTTGGATAGACCAATTTTCTCATTTAATTATTGATATAAATCATTGATACATGAAAATAAAATTATCATAAAGCCATTTATTAATTTTTTTATTTAAAAAATAATATGTATTATGTTTTTTTTCGTTGCATTTTTTCGTACTTTACATATATTAGAACCGATTAATAAATAAATCTGCCAAGTGGCACCTTAACATCCATGGGAACATAGAGGCTATGAAGCTCAAAGTAAGGGCCGGACCCACCTTTGATCTCGAGCTTGGCTTGGGTTCCGTTCTGTTCTCTTGTTGTTTTTGCTTTTGGGGTCTGAGGTTGTCTGAAAAAAAAAAAAAAAAAAACCTTCCTTGCCTAGGCCTAGACTTCTTGTTTTAGTCTTTAACTTGGTGTTACCATAACGGTAGTTAAAGTTAAAGGGAGAGATGGACCGTATGATCTGTCTAAAACCGGGTCACTAATTAAGCATTGCAGCATATGTCAAAGGCGAAAACAGAAAGAAAAAGAAAAAGAAAGAAGAGGTGAAGGTCTTGACTGAAAGCTCTGAGGTCAAGAAACGAACTTGAAATCTCCTTACAGGTTCGTTGTTATTTCTCAACTCAACTTTCTGCATAGACAATTATAAGCTGCTTATACCTTGCATATTGATTCACATTATTAGCCCCCTCTTCTTTCTCTCTTGAATTCTTTTAATCTTAAACGTAATTGCAGATTAATTAAAGGGTTGGTGGGTCTTTCGTAATTGCAGTTTTAGTTTTTTAGTTCACTTCAGCAAGACAAGAAGAGGTTAATTAAACGTAATTGCATATTGATTCACTTCAGCAATTTGTTTTTGAGTTCTTTCAATTTATAGCTTTATCCTTTCTTTGGATTCTAGGTATGTACGTTTCTTAAGTTAATTAGCTGGTCTTTTTGTGCTTGCTTGCATGTTGTGATTACATTTTCTTGGTTACTTCATTGATGATTTGCACCGGCTCTAGCTTTGTTTTTGTTTTTTTTTTTTTTTTTTTTGGTTATTGACAATTTGATTAAACTTAGGCATCAGGCTTTAATATGTCATTTTGGCCAGATTTTTTTAGGCTTAGATAAGTTTTCTAGTTGCTGCTGCTCTAGTTCTGCTTCTTGCTTTGCTTTGCTTGTCCCATGATTGCGGTGACCTGTTTCTTTCTTCATTTTTTCTTCTCTTTGTATTTCCCTTCTTTTTTTTTTTGTTTGTTCTTTTGGTAAAATTGGTTCAGATGAAGTTAATTACCCAGATATTCTCTCTTCCTAAAGTTAAATTCATCACTAAACCTTTAGCCACCATGCGTTGTTTTAAAAATTGTTCTTAAAAAGAATCAATTTCTACCACTTGGTTCACCAAAATATTATGAAAGAAGTTTATTCGCTATCTGGTTTCGTTTCACTGTGGATTTTCTTATGCATTGTTTTGTTAGCATTATTTGAAAGCATTTCGCTCTGTTTCTTTAACAAGGATTTAGCTGAATCTAAAATTGCGTTGAAATGCTGCAAAAGGCATAAACATTTCTACCAATTGAGGCCTCAGTCTAACTTTGTTCTTGAGCTTTCTTTTTTATGCAAAATTTATACTCGTCATTGTGTACGTTCTTCCTGGAGAAACATGATGAATGTAACTGGATTAGTTTCACTTGTCCTGAACATGTTTTGGAATATTAGGGCTTTTCATGTGACTCAAAATTCATTCCAAAAAGCGTCATACAATTACAAGCAGCATCAGCCTTATCTGCTTCACTAGCATTCATTATGGAATTTTGGCATCTTGGATTGCATTAAGATATTATTTCTTGATCTAAAATGACTTATAGTTAGGAAACTTTATAGACGAAAAGAATTTCAACTTCTATGATTTTAGACATTATTAAAGGTGCTGAGCGAAATTGTGCAATTCCTCCAGCATTGTTGAAGTGATTTTTTATTTCTAGAACTCAATGTTAATATGATGTTCTCTCTTTTTTGTTGGCATTCTTGAAAATGGACAATTCCCTCTAGATATGTAATCCATGCTACTGTATCTAATCTGTTTTCATCTGCTTGCAGGTTGTGTAGCCTTATATTCTTACAGCTAGGTAAGGATTCAATATCGGAATAGCTGCTTGCTGCACCAAAAAGTAGTGGTGGAATCCCAATCTTGGATTAGTTGCATTGTCTTGTTTGGAAGAACATGAACGGTGGTCCAGCTGCTAAGATTCGATTTGTTAGATGTCCAAAATGTCGGCAGGTTCTTGTGGAGCCACAAGATATTCCAGTCTACCAATGTGGTGGCTGTGGCACACATCTCCAAGGTACAATCCTTATAATTTGTGATATATGGTTTGAATACTCTGATACATCAACTTTTCTGAACCTTTTCCATTAAATTCTCAAATAGGATAAGACAGAGAAATTTATTTACTCTTCTTGGATTGGTTAAGTTGAGATAGAAATTCAATTACTCTATTTGGCTTGGTTAAGTTTTGAATATGAGAGAGAAGAGGTTTTAACGATTATTAACTCCATATTGCATGGACTCATGAATGTTACTTTCCTCTGATAGACATTCTGATGAACTAAATAAGTCCAATGCTGCTAATTTCCCTGTGCTAAGCCTTGGGGCATGCTTTAATAGTCCAATGCTCCAGGTTAATGGCACTAAGCCAGGCGCTAGGCTAGATCTTTCCATCTGACAAAGGCTTTCCTTAACAAGAGGGTACAATCATTAAAGAGTATTTGTTGTCAATTATTACTACTAGTAGATTGTTTTCTCTATCTCTCATCTTGTTTTACTGAAGTTGCTCTACGTCGTAATAATCTGGATTTGATAATATTTAAAGCAATTCTCTTCCTTCGTGCAGTGGAAAATCGAAAAAATAATCCTGAATTCACAACATCTGGCTTACATGAAACAGATGCTGCTCAGAAAAGCAGATCAGATCATGTTTCTGAAGATAAAAAAGCTAGCAGCCCAAATCATGAAGAAACTCTTCATTCCCCTGGGGAATGTTCTTCAGACCAAATCAATGGGAGGGATCATGCTGCATATGGCAATTGTGAGCTTGAGAATCTAATAGGCAAAAACTCACCAAATGAACTCCAAAGCAATGGAAGTGATCCAAATGGTTCTGGAGATTTCAATAATGAGCAACCTGGAGATTTCAACTCATCAGATCATTGGGGCTTGTATTATTTTTACTTTTTCGGTTGGTTGATAAATTGTGGGGAATTAGGATTCCAAACTGAATAGTTTTGGTCTTCACATTGATAACCAAGGCTAGGGATTTTATTTAGATCTAAAATTTTGGAAGTAGTTAAGTAAGGGGTTGGTTTAACTCCTATAAAAAAATTCAGAAACACAAAAACTGCTTGTGTTTTTGGATCGTAAAAGTTCGTGTAAATTTTTGAAGCTATTCTATCCAGAAATTACTAAATTGGGTTTAACGCTCAAGAAGAATGCTAGACAGTTCTTTGCATTGAATACCTGTAAAACATGTTCCCCTTGTTAGATGAGGGATCCTCTGACAATTAAATCAGTGGTCGAAACGTGTTGAAATAGCATAAAAAAAAATTATTTAGAGAAAATGTTTAATTGCAAATAAAGAGAAAGCTATTTAGGGTTTGGAACCTCAAATCTTTTCATGATCTGGGTCTTTATATATGCAATCATGGATGTAACTTGTATTATGTGAAGGATATAATTGTTTTTTTTTTTTTTTTTTTGGGCATTAGTAATTGGGTCGACATCTAATGTTATCATTCTATATGACTTCGGCATGAGTACTATCATGATAGTTGATGATTTAATTGATATTATCCTTTAAAAAAATATATATTTATTAAATATTTTGTCTCTTTTAGAGATAATGGAGAAAAATATGGTATATTTTCCCATGCTAGGGAGGGTGTTATTATCCTATACTGTTTCTTATAGACGACGTGAGCCTACCACCATTAGCTACTACAATCCTACTGGTGCCAAGCGAACAGCGACAGTTGTGAGTTTACACATACAAAATGTTGAGAAGTAAACTGTCCCATTAGAGAGACAAAGTCAAATGTCAGTCAGAATTTGTTGGCCGCAAAGAACGGTGGTAAAATTAACCGGATTAAAAGGCCCAACAGGACGTCCAAAAATCCAAAACCAAACGTGGCGTTTGATTTCTGTTTCCTCGACAATAAAGTACCACATGGCATGCTGTAACTGGCTTAGTGGTCGCCCAGTCAACCTTTGAGTTTCCTTCCCATGTCCACTGTTTTCAGTTGACGTGGAACATAAGTCATCAACTCAGTCGATACAAGGAGGAGCTATTTCTCGTCAAATATTGACTTCTAGAAGTTAATTTGTAGTATCGCCTTCCCCATTAAGCCCTAACGGATTGTTGTATTTTCAGTAGTAGGTTCAGCATCCATTGCTCCAATGAGTTGAATTGTTATACGTTTTAGCGTTAATTATAATTTAGCCCATACAGTTTAATAAAATTAATTAATTAGCTATTATAGTTTCAGAAACTATCTATTTAATCCTGATATTTTAAAATGCATTTATAAATTCATCCTTTTTGTCTGTTTCATATTTTAAAAAAAATTATTCTGATTTTTTATTTTAAGGAAAAAGAAAAAGAAAAATAGATAGGACACAAAGACTGATGGGATAAAAAAAATATTTTTCAGAATAAAATATGATCATTAAATTAAACATGATCAATACTAGACAAAACTATTTAATTATTTTGATGCTACAATTAGGGGTGTGCAAACGGTTCGGTTAATCGAAAATCGAATCAAACCGAACCATATTAAGGTATTTGGTTCGGTTTTGAATTTAAAATTTACTATTTATAACTAAACCGAAAAACCAAAATTTATTTCGATTCGGTTCGGTTTTTTAAAAAATTTCGGTGCAAACCGAAAACAAAAATTTATTCCTTATTTGAGTTATTTCTATTTCGAATTCTAGTTTTAGTGTTTTACTCATTCTCTTCTCATTTCCAATTCCAAATAACCAAAATCCGCAAATCCCTAACCCTAACTCCCTAAGTCCCTCGCTGCCGTTACATAGGCCCTAAGTCCCTCGTTGTCGTTGTTGTTGCCTCACCGTCGCCGTCGTCGCCTCCGGCCATCTAGGCATTCTCTCTTAGTCTCTCTCACTCTCGCATTTGACAGTACTAATGTACTATTATACTCGGTTGTTTGGAGTTGGAAAGACTAAAAAGTTCTCTCGTTGTAATGTTGTGAGCATATTCCGAATTCTCTATAACATGTCCGTTGTAATGTTGTATTATTGTGGGCATATTCTGATTATTCTCTATAATGTCTCCGCTATAAACTTGTAATGTTGTAATGTTTGGAGTTGGAAGAACTTCTTCGTTACCTTCCCCGTGGGTTGTGGCTACTCGGCTAGTGAATTGAGTAATTCAAGGATTTATGTAAAGTTGTATAACTTGTATTTGCTAGAATAAATACAACTAATACAAGTATACAACTATACAAGTGATCGAAGTGAGCGATGGTAGTAGGTTTATCGCCTTGGTGTCTCCCCGCCTACCGACAATGGGCGATAGGCCTACCGCCTTTGATTTTCATAGCATGTTAATATCCTCTTTCGGGAGCATTGAGTGTTTGTTGGGATTTCATTCTATTGCGGATCCCGAAGGAGTAAAGGTATTACAAATGCACGTAAATCATTTGTTTTAGGACGAGGAAGAGAGCTTGTGTCTCGTCCTCTTTGTTGAGAAATGAGAACGGACATTCTACCATGCTTTTGTTGTTCAATGTCGATTGCATTGTATTTGGATCTTTGTTTCATCAATAATTATTTTGCATGACTTATTTCCTTTTATGATATATGAATGTTAAACATGTTGGATTGTTGGGTGTTTAAATTTGACTTTAATTGTGAATTTTTTTTTTTTTTGGTCGTTGATTGTTGAATCTTTTTTAGAAAAGAAAGTGGTTAATTGTTAGCTCGGCATTGCTAATTACTCGGCTTAGGCAAAGAAAAAATAAATAAAAGTTTTGAGAGAAGCTGTCTAAAGTCCGAAACGGAGAAGTAATGAAAAAGTTCGATTAAACCGAATTATTTCAAAACCGGACCGAAATAGTTTGGTTACAAACCGAATTAACCGAATTAATTTTGGTTCGGTTTCGGGTTTTATTTTTCCTACTTTGGTTAATCGAAAACCAAACCGAATTATGCTTAACCGAACCGTTTAACCGAATGCGCACCCCTAGCTACAATGACTAGTTTATTTATTGGGTAATTACACAATCATCTTTAAGACATTATAAAATTACACAAACTATCTAAAAGTTCAATAATTTGATAAAACAAAAAACACTCAGTTTTAAATAAATATTATAAAGATCTCATTTTGTATCCAAAAATATTCTTAATATTTTTAAAATCATTTTCCTTAGCATTATTAAGCGCGTTTTGGATAGAAAATAAAGTTTTTGTACTTGTAAGTGTTTATTGTAATTTCAACTAAGTATACAAATGTTCTTGACATTAATTTGTGGAAACTAATTAATTGCAGCCTCCCACCACACTTTACGCAATAGCAGCTTGTTGAGTCTTTTCAGTACAGAAACAAATTAAAAGCACTCAATGCATAATCAAAGCCAATTATGGTCTAATGGGGGAATCGTTTTGACTTGGGGAGATTTAAGAACCAAAAGTCATGAGATTTGTTAATAATTAATGACCTGGCTTCCTCTGCAAATGATTAAAATAGTTTTCTTTGCAATCAAGAAAAATACTAGCCACTGGATTTTGTAATTTTTATTTCATTGTGGCTCATTTGACTTTTTTTCTTTGTGTTTTTGGAGGGGGATTTAGGTAACTATTGTATTCATTACACCTTCACATGTTTTGGGAGGGCGATTTCGTGACAATATCCTAGAAAATTGAAAAACATTAAGAAGTTTGTTTTCCAAATTCTTCACTTTAAAAATGGTAATCTTGTTTAATTTGTCAAATTCTTTTATATCAATTTCTTCTATTATTTTCAATATAGGTCAAACAAAACTTTCGTTTTATATATATATATATATATATATATATATATATATATATAAAAGGGACTGCACCCAAAAAAAAAAAAAAAAAAAAAAACTATACAAAAAAATATAAGTAATACTAGACATAATATCCTCAATTAAATCGATATACCATAAAAAGTTTAAACTTGTTAGAATTTCTAGTAGCTTATGAAACCCAAATGCACATCTATTTAATAAACAAGTTTCCTTTTCATGGGAACAAAAAAAACAAAAAAAAACAAAAAAAACAAAAAAAAAACAAAAACAAAAACTAGTGATGAAAGCTTTTTATAATTTCATTTTAGTATTTATTTGTTTCTAAATATTAAATATGCATTTTTGTTGGCTTTGTTTGATTGCACATTTTTTTCATTTTTAATAAAAGACAGTAATTTTATTCATAACATACATTAAACACATATATTACCATTTTTTGGTACAGTGATATCCAAAACTGGTAAGAAAATTGCAACTTATTACATTAAAAAAACAAAACAAGCTTTTTATAACAATGATGAAAAATAATTTTATACCAATGAGTGTCAATATCGGTTAACTAACAAGAAAGACTCGCCACAACCTAGTAAATGGATATCAAAATCTTATTTCAAGAATAAAATATCTTAACAAAATAGAAACTTTATGCATAAATCAAATATGGATTTAAAATCTAGATCTGAATATCCTAAAAACAAAAATAAAAGAGAACTATAAAGATGAAGGGTTGCCACCGGTGATTGATTAGGTTAATTTTTTTCTAAGATAGAATAAAAAAGGAGAGGGAGTTGGTTATTTTGGAGACACCACGATCTAGTAAATATGCATTTTTGTTTGATGTTCAATCAGTCATTATTTTTAACTTTGTAGTTTTACTATCCTTTCAATGAAAAGGGATCCAAAAATAACTACAAAAAAAGAAGGAATTAACTCAACTTGTTTTCATATTTTAACCCAAGTCTACAATTTATCTTAGAAGTCTAATTGCTTCTAATTTATCTCTTAATATTTGATTATTCTCCAATCTATTATTTTATCATATTTTTCATATAAATTGATGATAATACCTTTATTTGAGAAACTTAGACCTAACCTGATTTATTAAAAAAAATATAAAAATGAAAAATCTCAAATTTTAATACAACATGGCATTTGATTTTTTTTTTTTCACATAACTTTTATAAGTTTCTCATGTTAAGGAATTTTCGTATGTTTGAAAGAGCATATACATCAAAAAGATATATTGGAGAGAAGTAAAATACTACGATGAATTTTAAATAAGACTTATAGAAACATATTGGTAACTAAACTTAATATATATATATATATATATATATATATAATTTAAAAAGCAAATTGTATGTAAAAAACTTATAATCTAGTGATAGTAATTTCTTATAACAATAAATCTTGGGTTCAATTCAAATTCTAACAAATCAATTGCTTTGGATTTGTGAGTTGTAAAAAAAAGAAGGTAAATTGTATTACAAGTGTTTGTATAGTGGTTGCCAATGAAAGAGTAGCATGGTTCAAATTCTAATCTATTTTTTTAAAAACTTGTTGGATCGGGCCAATCTGGATTTGACAGCTAAGATTCCAAATGCTTGAAAACTTAGTGAAAATATTTTTAACATAATGCCTTTATTATTGATGTTGAGTGAGCCTATACGTTAAAAAAAAAAAAATAATAATAATAATAATTTCTTTAGAGATATGACCTTATAGTTTCTAACATTTTAGTAGATATATAATCTTACTTGGTAATGAAAAACTAGATTTTCATCATTTGTTATTAAAACGTTTATATATTTTTTTACCAAAAAAAAAATAAAATTTAATTCCATTCATTTCAATATATTATTTTTAAACATAAATGGTATGCTTACATGTATAATTTTTAAACATAAGGCAAATATAATATCTTAATTTTAGATATTGTGAGTTTCAACGTGTTAGAGTTGTTTTATTAAATTACTAATAGATTTTTAATGATAAATCAAATATAATAAAAACACATTACTAAGAATATTTTTTTAATATTATACTTCATTTAATACCCTCTTCAAAATTAAGCATTTGGACAGTCCTATTTTCTCATTTAATTATTGATATAAATCATTGATACGAGAAAATAAAATTATAATAAAGTCATTTATTAATTTTTTTTTCGTTGCATGTTTTTCTTACTTTACGTATACTAGAACCGATTAATAAATATTAGAATTTATAACATAAATACATATATACACACTTAAGTATAATATCAATATGAATCAATTCAATTTAGCCCCTCCTCATATGATATCCTGACTCCATCACTGATAGCTTGTGTTTTACCCTATCCTCTAGAAGCACCATAGTTTTGATATACCAAGACTAGTTTAAGAGTATCTATCTATCATCCTCTAGAAACAGTAAAAAAAAAGAAAGAAAGAAAATCAGGAAGCAGTCCTTATCTGTGGACATCTAAAATGTTTGACATTTGAAGATTAATTATGGTGTAGGTGAAGTTAACACGCAACATCTTTGGGTTGGCACTGGCACTGCCTCAATTTATTTTGCATCCAATTTTCACCTTAAAAAAAAAAAAAAATTCGCTTTACATTTAACCATCGAAGCTTTTGAAGGGTCAGTATGATGATCAAAACCCAAGCCATGCTCAAAATTGAAAATCAAAGGTGGGTCCAGTCCTTACTTTGAGCTTCCATGTCTCTATGTTCCCTTGGATGTTAAGGTGCCACTTGGCAGATTACAGCTGCCCAAAATGGACATCTAGTCAAACCTATGACTTCTCCTCCCCCATCCAGGGGTCTATTTCTTTTTTTTCTTTTTTTTTCTTTTCTTCTTTGAAAAATACAGTAATTTTATTAATATTAAGTTAATAAAAAATAAATTACTTTCTTAATATTGGTTACAATATATATATATTTTCATTCATAAATTTGGTGAATTATTGTTTTTCAAACAACATTTAGTTTTTTCATTGATGAAAAAATAGAAATCTATAAACTTTTTAAACTAAGATTAACATAATTTTTCTTCTGAATCATGTACAATGAATCTCTCTCTATCATAAATTGATGGAAAAAAAAATTGTATTGCCAAACTATATTGATGGAACATTTGAGTTTTCAAACACTATTGATGAAAATTAACCTCTTTCAAAGAATAAGGTAGATCTAAAGACATAAAAACTCTCCTTTTTTTAAAAAAAAAAAGAAAAGAAAAGAAAAAATCATACCTATCAATCATAAAAATCAGGACTTCGTTGTAGAAAATAAAAAAAAATAAGAAAATAAATAAATAAAAGTTGTAGTGGATGTAAAATAGTTGACTGCAAATATCCAAGCTAGGCTTCATAAAGAGGTGTTTTTATTAGAGAGAGAGAGAGAGAGAAAGAATTATCAATCTCAAGAATACAATAAAAAAAAAGGACCTAAATTTTGGTTTGACTTTGATTAGAAGATAAGAATGGTTACTTGATTCGAGTATTGGATCGATAAATAATTCATTTTGAAGCACTCTGGTAAAATAAGCTAATATTCAGATTTGTTGGTTCTTATTTTTCTTTGTTCAAAGTAAAAAATAGAAAGGCATAAACTTACGTACCCTGGACTTCCCATTAAAGGGTATTGTCCTAGTGAAACGAAACCAAGCTATCATAGGCAACACCTCGGAATAAAAAAAAGCATTAATGCTATTTAGTACGGAAAGATTTTTGTTAAAATCAAGGGCTAATCATTTACTACATTGATTGCTTTGCCATCGTATCGTAATATATATATATATATATATATATATATTAGGTATTTGTTTCAAATTGAGTGATCCAAATAGCCATAGAAGCATTGTTGCTATGTTATTGGAATCTAGACAATCTAAACTCTCAATCTTAATAGGGAAATGGGGCGTTGACTTATTGTAAGTTAGAAGAAGCGAAAACCATCAAAAGAGCGGTGTTGAAAAGGAAAATGTGAAAATTGTCTTGTTCAATATAAGTGGACAAGACAAAAAAAAAACAGTGAAGGAGAGAGACAAAAACAGTTATAACTTCTGTACTTGCTTCGTAGATGCTGCTGCTAAAAGAGATTAAAACAAGGAAGACAAGATATGGCGCCTAACTCTAGTACTATTATTAACCCATACAGAGAGACCAACAAAGTTTCAAACTTTAAAAGCTTGAGAGTGAGAGAAACAAGGCATAATCAAAAGTCTGTTCTGTTCTTTTCTCCTGTCGTTTTTGCTTTTGGCGTCTGAGGTTGACTGGAAAAAAAAACCTCCCTTGCCTTAGCCTAGACTTCTTGTTTTTAGTCTTTAACTTGGTGTTACCATAACGTTAGTTAAAAGTTAAAGTAGTTACTGAGAGAGATGGACTATATGATCTGTCTAAAACCGAGTCACTAATTAAGAATTAAGCAGCATATATCAAAGGTGAAAAAAGAAAAAAGAAAGAAAGAAAAAGAAAAAGAAAAAGAGAGAAGAGGTGAAGGTCTTGACTGAAAGCTTTGAGGTCAAGAAACGAACTTGAAATCTCCTTACAGGTTCGTTGTTATTTCTCAACTCAACTTTCTGCATAGACGATTATAAGCTGCTTATACCTTGCATATTGATTCACATTATTAGCCCCCTCTTCTTTCCCTCTTGAATTCTTTGAATCTTAAACGTAATTGCAGATTAATTAAAGGGTTGGTGGGTCTTTCGTAATTGCTGTTTTAGTTGCTGCCCATCTGTTTTTGAGTTCTTTCAATTTCTAGCTTTATCCTTTCTTTGGATTCTTGGTATGTATGTTTGTTAAGTTAATTAGCTGGTTCTTCTAATCTTTTTGTGCTTGCTTGCATGTTGTGATTACATTTTCTTCGTTACTTCATTGATGGTTTACACAGGCTCTAGTTTTTTTTTTTTTTTTTCTCTAGGTTATTGACAATTTGATCCAACTTTGGCATCAGGCTTTAATATGTCATTTTTGCCAGATTTTTTTAGGCTTAGATAAGTTTTCTAGTTGCTGCTGCTCTAGTTTTGCTTCTTGCTATAGATCTGCTGTTCATTATTGACCCATGATTGTGGTGACCTGTTTCTTTCTTCATTTTTTCTTCTCTTTTTATTTCCCTTCTTCTTTTTTCCCTTTTTCTTTGTTTTTGTGGAAAAAATTGGTTCAGATGAAGTTAATTACCCAGATATTCTCTCTTCCTAAAGTTAAATTCATCACGAAACCTCTAGCCACCCTGCGTTGTTTTAAAAATTGTTCTTAAAAAGAATCAATTTCTACCGCTTGGTTCACCAAAACATTATGAAAGAAGTTTATTCGCTATCTGGTTTTGTTTCACTGTGGATTTTCTTATGCATTGTTTTGTTAGCAGTATTTGAAAGCATCTCTCTGTTTCTTTAACAAGGATTTAGCTGAATCTAAAATTGCGTTGAAATGCTGCAAAAGGCATAAACATTTCTACCAATTGAGGCCTCAGTCTAACTTTGTTTTTGAGCTTTCTTTTTTTTTTTTTTTTTTTGCCCAAAATTTATACTCATCCTTGTGTATGTTTTCACTAGAGAAACATGATGAATGTAACTGGATTAGTTTCACTTGTCCTGAACATGTTTTGGAATATTAGGGCTTTACATCTAACTCAAAATTCATTCCGAAAAGCATCATACAATTACAAGCAGCATCAGCCTCATCTGCTTCACTAGCATTCATTATGGAATTTTGGCATCTTGGATTGCATTAAGATATTAGTTCTTGATCTAAAATGACTTGTAATTAGGAAACTTTATAGGCGAAAAGAATTTCAACTTCTATGATTTTAGACATTATTAAAGGTGCTGAGCGAAATTGTGCAATTCCTCATGTATTGTTGAAGTGATTTCTTATTTCTCGAACTCAATGTTAATATGATGTTCTCTCTTTTTTGTTGGCATTCTTGAAAATGGACAATTCCCTCTATATATGTAATCCATGCTACTGTATCTAATCTGTTTTCATCTGCTTGCAGATTGTGTTGCCTTATATTCTTACAGCTAGATAAGGATTCAATATGGGAATAGATGCTTGCTGCACCAAAAAGTAGTGGTGGAATCCCAATCTTGGATTAGTTGCATTGTCTTGTTTGGAAGAACATGAACGGTGGTCCAACTGCTAAGATTCGATTCGTTAGATGTCCAAAATGTCGGCAGGTTCTTATGGAGCCGCAAGATATTCCAGTCTACCAATGTGGTGGGTGTGGCACACATCTCCAAGGTACAATCCTTACAATTTGTGATATATGGTTTGAATAGTCTGATACATCAACTTTTCTGAACCTTTTCCATTAAATTCTCAAATAGGATAAGATATAGAAATTTATTTACTCTTCTTGGATTGGTTAAGTTGAGATAGAAATTCAATTGCTCTACTTGGCTTGGTTAAGTTTTGAATATGAGAGATAAGAGGTTTTAATGATTATTAACTCCATATTGCTTGGACTCATGAATGTTACTTTCCTCTGATGAACTAAATAAGTCCAATGCTGCTAATTTCCCTGTGCTAAGCCTTGGGGCATACTTTAAGAGTCCAATGCTCCAGGTTAATGGCACTAAGCCAGGCGCTAGGCTAGATCTTTCCATCTGACAAATGCTTTCCTTAACAAGAGGGTACTATAATGGAAGAGTATTTGTTGTCAATTCTTACTATTAGTAGATTGCTTTCTCTATCTCTCATCTTGTTTTACTGAAGTTTTTCTACATCGTAATAATCTGGATTTGATAATATTTAAAGCAATTGTCTTCCTTCTTGCAGTGAAAAATCGAAAAAATAATCCTGAAGTCACAACATCTGGCTTACATGAAACAGATGCTGCTCAGAAAAATGGATCATATCATGTTTCTGAAGATAAAAAAGCTAGCAGCCCAAATCATGAAGAAACTATTCATTCCCCTGGGGAATGTTCTTCAGACCAAATCAATGGGAGGGATCATGCTGCACCTGGCAATTGTGATCTTGAGAATCTCAGAGGCACAAACTCACCAAATGAACTCCAAAGCAATGGAAGTGATCCAAATGGTTCTGGAGATTTCGATAATGAGCAACCTGGAGATTTTAACTCATCAAACGACCAAAAGATTGAGAGTAATAAAAATGATCCAAGGGACTCTGATAATGAACACGTTGGAGGCATAAGCACATCTGATGAACACCGACAGAACGGGAGCGGTCAAAATGAATCTGGGGATTGTGTGAATTGGCAACTAATAGATGTAAACTTGTCAAGTGGTGATCAGAAAAAAGGAAGTGCTTCAAATGAATCTTCAGATTGTGATCATGAGCAGCTTGAACTTTTCAATGAAGTTCCGATTCAACAAACTGAATCTGGGGATTGCAATAATGAGCAACTTGGAGGTGGGGGCTTACCAACTGAAGCACAAAATGGCTTGAGTGATAGAAATGATTCTTCAGATTGCAATGGTGAACAGGCTGGATTTTCCTATAAAGTTTGTTCCCCTACCAAACTTATTCATTTTAACAATGAAGAGCTGTCCCCACTGACAGCAGCAGAACCAAGAGAAGTCAATGAAGGTGAGATTCAACAAAATGATTCTGGAGATTTCACTAATGAGCAACTTGAAGGTGTGAACTTATCAACTGAAGCAGAAAACGACAGGAGTGATCAAAATGATTCCTTGGATTGCAAGAGTGACCAGCTTGGAACTTCCTATAAAGTTTGTTCACCTAGCAAACTTGCTCATCCCAAGAATGAAGAGCTGTCCCCACTGGTAGTAGCAAAATCAAATGTTGAAGTCATTGATGAAAGCTCACCATTATCAGTAGCAAAAGCAGAATTACATGCTAACAATGATAACGATGGAATTTCCGATGATGATTGTTCACTCACCAAACTTGCTCTTCTCAAGAACAAAGAGATGTCTCCATTGGAAGGGGCGAAATCAGAAGCTGGAGCTGGTGATGAAAGATCACAATTGGCAGGAGCAAAACCAATGCTAGATGCTTGCAAAAAGAGTGATTCTGGTTTCACAAAATCAAGTTCTGAGAAGTCAGCTGACAAAGAGGGTGCTTCAGTTGTCACTGCTCACAGGCCTGCAGGAGAAAGCATTTCATCAGACATTTTTGTATCTTCACCGAATGAACAGCTAGAGAAGCTTCACGAAAGTGTTCACCATGATTTTGACTGTGTACAGTGTACAGATACATGCGAAATTATGGATATTATTGAACCCAGCTCCGAGCTAAGTGGCACTCTTATAGACTTGTCCAAATCCCCAACCACCAGAAGCTCTCGTGCTTACTATGACGACTGTGTCTCCTCATTTGAAGGAACAGATGATCAGTTACCTGATCGACCTAAGCATCCATTTAGAAATGCTCAAAAGCCTTCAAATCACGCAGCTTCTGATGAGAGGCCCAGAAGTGAAAAGTTAATGGCGAATAGCAATTCTGAAATGCAGCATCACTTGAAGAATCATACGTCAACTATTTCCGATAAGAATCACCGTGCCTTGAAATCCGGCAAATTTAACCATGATGAATTGGTAGAGCACACAAGGCTTACCCATCCAGCTAGAAACTGGAGAAGACCGGAGAAGTATGAATATCCATCTCAGGTCCCTTTCAATGATGGAGGTTCGTTGGTTGGCTATGACAACGGCAGCCCTTCCAATCAATTCAACAATCAATTCCATTCCAATCCATACTTTCATTCACGTGACAAGCCCACATACACTGAACAGGAGAAGATGAAACTGTTGAGAATGATTGCTGAATTGCAGGATCAAGTTAACATTCTGAATGGAAAAGAAAAAGGAAGGGTTACTCCTGGAGTCACTTGGAAGGACCATTATATTCCCAGTTACTATGATCATGAAGCCCTGGAGCAGGTAATTTTTGATGACTTGAAGTATTCTAGTTATCCTGGAAGATTCAGAGGGGGAAGGAACTGGTGTCAACAGAGTAAATTCTCCCGAATACCTTTCTCAGCAGAGGTAGCAATCAATCGAAACCAAGTTGATCACCCATTGTGTTGCTGTTCCCAAGACTGGCTCTCAGGACAACTGCCTCCACCTGCCCTTCATCATAATAAAGTGCTTTGTAAGGTCCACAATGGTGTCAACTTTTACAATTCCTATGGCTCTTGTCCCTCAAGTCCACAACGGCATGCTGACTCTGAGTTTTCCATATATAGGCGTGAAATGCTTTCTGATGATCAGAGGCACAGATATCAGGAGGTAAAGAAGTATGTGAGGAAGAAACATCACTTGGCTAAGCGGCACCTCCTGCCCCTAGCAGGCGGAGCCCCTTTCATAATGTGTTATTGTTGCTTCAAACAGCTTCAGCTACCTGCAGATTTTGTCCTTTTCAAGAGGAAGTGTCATCGGCTAAGATGTGGTGCCTGTTCTGAAGTACTTAAATTTTCACTTATAAGGAAAACTCATCTAGTTCCATATACACCAACAGCTGATGCACCTCCGCCAAGTGAGGTTGATGAGCATAGTGATGCTCTTCATAGGAGAAATTTGCCTTCAACTTCTCATGCCACTGACTGTCCCTATGTTGATCTTGTGTCATGTTCTGAGGATTATGGACTTCCTTTCTGTAAAAGCTGTTCCACTGATGGGGATCCTGTTTACCAGACATCATTGTATGCAGTTGAAAGAAGCATGTCATATGATCCAGTGGTATATAACGAAGAGCGGAGGAAGTTCATTTTGAATGAGCATAAAAATAAATGTAAGAATCCTGTGGAAGCACATGAATCACCTGGACCTTCTTCCAGCATGTCCAAATCAAAGAAAGTATCTTCAGAAATTGAGGAGCTGCCAGGAAGAGGAGGAGGAGGTTCCCCACTTCACCGACTTATGGGTTATTCCTCACCTAGTCAACTGGTATATGGTTATGGACCATCTTGCTCAAGCTCACGCTATCCAGCAAAAGAGTGAGAGAGCAACTTAGACATATTTATCATGAAGCATTGGCTTGTATAGTTACCCATAGATTATACTTTGTTTTTGCTGTCAATTATAGTACAGGTGAAATAGGATTCACCTCACGGCTCATTGCTTTGGAATCAGTAATATATGTAATAGAAGTAGAAACACAGGTTTTGAATTTTGTGAGTATAGGTGCCCAGTATGATTTGTTTATTTGTGTATTGTAAAATTGATCCTGCATAACAAAATTGTTGAATTCTTATATTTTATTCAGAGAAGAAAAGGAAAAAGAAATCGAATAATCAATAGTGCATCATATAAAGGTCGTTAGTCCCCCAAGGAATGTTCAGTTTCTTCAAGGCACTTACTGTACTTAAGACAACTTTTGAAAGTTTTCTAATGCTCCTTATCCCTGATTATCTTGACCTTAACTTCACGAGTTTAGCAGGTTTATGCATTTCCAGTTAAAGTAGGTTACACACGCAGATTCTAATTTGAGCAAGAATGACCAGCTGTTCGGACAAAAACCTTCCTATGACTTCACATCTGGTGCATCTGAAGTTGTGATAACTTCCTAATCAGTTGTAGCTGAATTCATACTTCTTGTCCCCATCGCTTTAAAGACTCATGTTCGAGTCTTCTTGTAGGAAAGAGAGAAAAAAGAGGTGATTTTTATTCACCCTTTACTTTTGGTTACTAATGCAATTTCTTAGTAATTTGCTAGCTTGTGCTTCTTGGTGCTCTCCAATATCCATTTTCATTTCTTCTTTTTCACAAGCTAATAATAAACCTTTTCTTTTTCTGGTTTAAGTTTCAAATTCAAGATCTCTTGAAAGGATTGCGCATATGGCAGATACCTGGACCTATGATAACTGTGTTACTTGCAAATTAATAAGTACTCACTTCACAATTGCCAGCTAATGCCCTTTAATCATCCCGTCAAAACAAGAAGGCAAGGCAAAACCAAGGTGAATTCCATATGCCTATTACCTTTCCAGTCTGAATGCAGAGGAACTAGGCTTCTTAGGAAACTAAAATACAGAAAAATGTTTCTGAAGTAGAAATAAAAAATCAACTTTAGAATTGCATTCCTTCCAAATTCAATACCAAGTACATCAAAAGTTTAAAAGTGTATTCCTTCATAGTGTGGAGAGATCCAATTCTCATATTGCAATGCTCCTGTAGATTTGAAATTGTTCTATTTGTTGTATTTACAAGGAAATAAAAACAAGGTAAAGCAAGAAAAAAGCCTTGGCAAATTACATCTAGACACACAAGATTCATTTGAAGCTGTCCCTATAGCGGCTTCGTCGATTTGAAACAATGGAAATCCTTTGGTCCTGAAGCATGTTTAAGTTGGGGGCCAACAATCGAGTGTACCGATCAAAATACAGAAGCTGTTTCATGAGAAGTGCAAACTCCCTGGGAAATTTGAGTCCATATGATTCACTAACCCGAATCTGTTGCACAGCCAAAAAAATAGATATAGTTATTGGTATTTGTAATTAACCTTATCAACTATTTAAGAAACTTTCTGCAAATTTAGCAAGATTCAGTCTATCCTTTCAATACTGTTTTTGGATTCATAATAAATTTATTGTCCAAAATAAATCCAATCCTTTGGTTTCTAAAAACAAAAGTTTACTTAGTTTCCTCCAGATAAAAGTAGTTAAAACGAAACATCGACCCTGGCCGCACATAATTCTTTCGTAAACATTACCTATGGGTTACTGGTGGAAATAAAACAAAATCTTGCAAATGGCAGACCTGGTGACAACTGACAAAACAGTGGGCGTTTTAAGGGTTTACGTATTTTTTATCACCCAATCTTAGAGATAGTTCATCAATGAATATGGCATGGGACACAATGTATCCTGAAATCACAACTTAACTGCCAGGGAGAACAGTAATCTAACATATTAATCAAGTTTACACTACATTTATTTACAAAATGCTCAAACTTAACTAGCTAGATATTTTTGTTGAAAAAAGATCAGCTTACCACATCAAGAAAAAGTGCATTCATCTGCCTCTCATCAACAACTACATTGGCAGAGACAGCAGTTGCATTTGTACTTGTGTCCCTGGCAGTTGCAACGATTAATTCAGTATCCAAATCCTGCATTCAAGTAATAAAGCGTGTTTTAAAGCAGCATTCCAATAAATTTCAAATAATCAATAAAAAATATTAGAAAAATTTGAAAGAGAGTATTTAGAGTATTGATGCTTGCCTGTATTGATGAAAATATCTTTTCCAAGTCTCTGGCAAAGGCCATAACATCCACGTCCTTATTTGTTGCGCCCATTTCAATCAAGGCAGATGCCATTGACTCATATTCTTCAGTTGCAATTGATCCGAGAAACAGTTCCATAGCAGTCCATGTTTGTGGGGATATGCGACCAACAATTCCTGTAGATTGGATTCTATTTGAGTCACACGACAGATGGCTTAAATGCACGGACATAGTCAGTCAGCTCTTCGTAAATACGCTGTAAATGCTCTAGATCATACCAACACCAACTTGAGGTACTATTTACATTTGACCTATGGTACTAAGTGGTATAAATGACCCATTAAAAAAGGTTTTGCAATGAAAGAATGCACCATAAATCTGCAAAAATAGTTCTAAACAGTACAATCTATTATCTAATAATTGTTAATGTTCCTTTGGCTCCAATCAATATTTAAATACATGTCTTTTCAGAAGCTAGGGTAAAGATACAAGATTTAACTTCCATGTCACAAAGAGCTTGAAGCACAAGTTGCACTCTTACAAAAAGCAAGAGGGGTGAGGTCTCAGGTTCAAGTCCCACCTTTGTCAATCCATCTCTAAATAAAAAAACAAAAAAAAAAAAAAAAAAGGAAAAAGAAAAAAAGAAAGAACCTCCATGCTCACTTTTCTGATGAAATTCAGATTGAAAAGAAGTCATGGTTCAATATACAGTGATATTAAACTTCTCAACTATCATTTTATCATTGTTGTAGCAGATGTTGCCACTTTAGCAGAGGAAAGATTTGCAGAAAACCTACTTAGCTAACCTTGTACTGTAATATTAGATTCCTCTAACAAACCAGCATAGGCTAGTAATCAAATCAAATTATTGAAGTTGACAATCCAATCATTCAATTTAAAGCATATCAAGCTATGCCCAAAAATTCAGCGAATTGGATGCCTAAAACTGTATTTCTTTGGAAATTGAATCAAGAAGTGCACAAAAAATATTTACCGAAATCAAGAAATCCAATGCGGCCATCACGTAACAACCACAAATTGCCTGCATGAACATCTGCATGGAAAGTTTCGCATGCAAGTAAGCTACCAAACCTGCACAAGATATTTCATATCAACAGATTTAAGTTAAAAAGCTTGATACAGTACTCTTTAAGATTTAACATGAAATCTCACAAGCATGTGAATTACAGATGTCCTACCAAACATTGAGGGCAGTTATAAGACTAGTCTCTGGACTAGAAACAAGTGAGCTTATAGAGTCTAGGTCAGTAAGAGGCACTCCATATAGCCTCTCCATTGTAAGAATTCGCTGGGTGCTGCAGTGCTGGTACACTTTTGGAGCTGTAGCTTGCCTTGTAAGTCCCATGTCTTCCAAATATCTACTAAAGGCTTCGATGTTTGCAGCTTCCTTATAAAAGTCGACTTCTTCAAGCATGGACACTCTTATGTCTTTGACAATACCTACCTACTGAGAGGAGACATAACTTACAAAAGAACCCTCAAGAATTTATACATTTGCAAGCATGCAAATGTTACCTCACAACACATGCACACAAACAAATGTATGCTTGCTTCCTCCACAATAATACATCAGGGAGGTCAAGAAACAGAAAAGCCCAGTATGTATTGTAAGCCATTAAGTTGTATGAACACCAGAAAGTTTCCAGGATTTCAACATTGGGAAAATATAGTGCAAGAAGAGACTTGATGTGTAGAATGAAGAATAAACATCATACCAGTGATGCACGGCTGAGTTCAGGGTTTAAAAACTCCAATATGCGAGCAACAATGTAAACGAAGTTCAAATCAGCCATCAAGATATCTTTTATTCCAGGTTTCAAGACCTTTATAACCACATCGTCCTGAGAGCCCTTGAGCCTTGCAGCATGAACCTAGGCATTAATTCAAATTATAAGCATAACCATTGAAACACAATGAATATGAAAAGATAATACGTGAGAGATAGTGCACGCCATAGAAATACACAAAATAGATGTGAAATGGAAAAGAAAAGGCGAAATTCACCTGTGCAATTGAGGCCGAGGCAATTGGTGTTGGGTCAACATATTCATACACGCTATCTATTGGTCTTCCTAATTCCTCACGCAAGATTGCTTGAATTTCTTGAAAAGGAACTGCAGGAGCTCTGTCAAAACACTTCTGAAATTCTTGTACATATTCTGGTGGAAACAATGTAGGTGCAGATGCTATGAACTAGAAAAGCACATGATAGGAAAGCATTAATGGAATAACACCATCTTCCAAGAAGATTAAAAGAAGTTGAATAGAAACAAGGATAGACAATTAAATTTTTATTTAATAAGAGGAATAAAATTATTGACAAACTCAAGCAGCATAGAACACATAAAAAAAAAAAAAAAAAAAAAGCACTTTTCATAATCATAAATAAACTAAAAGAGAAAAACAATCAAGACTTACCTGACCTAATTTAATATAGGTTGCTCCCATGCGCTCAAACAACCTCCTCAAATATAGCGGAGAAAGTAATCCAAGCTGCAAGTTGGTTGGTAATCCAGCAGAAGAATTTGTAGACTGCAAATAGTGGAGGCGGTGGGGAAGTTAAAGGTTTAGTATGAATTATAAAACATTTCTTAACCTGTTATACAAAAAGAGCCTAGGCTTGTATCAGAACTGAACTACTAGTGATGTCATCCATAGTGATCTGGAGAAAGAAAACTAAGGGAAAAAAGAATATATGTAAATCAAGCAACAAATAGAAAAATTTTACATCCTCAGCTCTCTTCTACAAACAGATCCCAACGAAATGAGGTTTTTTTCAAATAGATGCCCATCTAAATCGCACTCGTAAGCAGTGACAGTCACATATTTACTCTTCCTCAAAATGTTTAATTTTCTTGGTCTGTTCCCTAGAATTTGGGGACAAAAAAATCTAAAAAAATTGTGATATAACCATGTGGTTTAATATCTCTATAATGCCAACCAATCCTCTATTCTTACATACATCATATAATATAGTTGCTCCCAAAGATTCCCTACTCAATTAAATTTATAACACAAATGAACCATTGCTGCATGCATTGGAACACCCTTCCTTTCACAATGACAATAACTCTAGAGAATGTTTGGTTGAGTGTCTAAAATCACTCCAGTAGCCATATAGAGGAACTGCAACTCCATAGAAATCAGGCGACAAAAGAAACAATAATCTGCTTATTTACCATAGGATTTGCAAAAAATGAATGCACATAATTTGAGAAATCTTATAAGTCCTTCTCTGTCAGAGCATTTTACTAATCTTCAGTTTTGGCCCTGGTTGTATATGAGCATTAACTTAAGGAAGGATCTTATGGAGTTTTGCAAATGAAATGCGCACAAACATCAATATAGAGTGAGTGCAAGAACTTACATGAGTTAATGCACCAGCATCCACAGACAATATAATACACAAGCATTGGGTTCTAAATTATAAGTCACTTAAAATTTACAATCATTCCCAGTAGTGTAAAAACAAAATTAGAATTATCCTAAGAGAGTAGAGAAACAGAATAGCAACAGTATCACAGTGAGGCCCACCTAAAATCTTAATGGAAAAACATTCAGGAAGAAGAAGTCTCTCACAGTAGAACTTCTGAGAATAGGACAGGAAAAGAACATCCCAATGCCCTCATCATATGAGAGAGGATGGCATACATGGATGAAGATTTGGTTGCAGGATGTTGGAAGCCATACATGGGATTTAAAAGATAAATGTGTAGGTAGCACTTAGAAAAAATTAAATCTTGTTCCAGAAGACAGGAACTCCAATCGCTACAGCCAGTCTCTTCTCAAACAGAAAGGAAAGTTCAATTTGCAAAATCTCATAGGCTTAATTAATTGTCACAATGTGATCAATTGACTAAGCAATCAACAAATTACATCTCTGATGATGTTTCCAGGCATCCTACAGAGAAACTACAAGTGCTTCCAAATGAGATAATTCTCGCCATTACTTGTTCATACATTGTATGCAAGGCTGGAAGTGTTTCGTTTATTTTTATTTTTTTATTTGTTTTAAAGTAACGCAATGTTACAGATATTAAGCAAAAAAAAAAAAAAAAAAAAAAAAGGACTATTGTAGCGTAAAATACCTTCGATACATCTGCCAGCCACTCGCCACCAACCCCAAGAAATGCTTGAATGCCTTGAGCCAGCCTTAGGGCTCCACGTGGACCGGTATTGATAGATGTCTGAACAATATCCTCCACCAGTTTGGGCAAGTTTTCAATACTATCTGATAGTATAACATATATAAGTTTTGAATAATGAAGTATAATTACAGCTAAAACCAGAAGAAGTAACAGCTACTTCATCAAATCTTTGTATGGTAGTGGAATTCATAACGTGAATGGGGTAGCTAAACTCTAATTCTGATATAAAGCTTCAATAACAGAATAATTGATTTCCACAAGAATTCCATATATAATAGGGAGAAGAGGCATGCATATGTGTTTTCTAGCTTTTCATGATTTCATCACGTGACCATATGGATAAGCACATATACCTTGGAGGCGAGAAGAGAAACGATCTTGCTGGGTCTGAGCATACCGGGCAAAAGTCTTTGAGCGAAAATTGAGCTTAATTGATGTCCGGCTTGGAATTGCCAGCTTTGAAACAACAGCAGTTTATCAAGACAAGAATGATCAATAAAAGAAGACCCACATCAATCAATCAATCAATCAATAAGACATTAAAAGACCAAAAATTTAAGAAATGAATCACCTGAGGAAGAGGGTGTGGATTATTAGTAAAGAAGGAGAATCGAGTCCCTCTTAGAGCTGACACAGAAATCATCACCATGTCTTTCTTTCTATTTGTCTTACACAAATATCAGCAAGTGTGTGTGTGTGTGATGGCATCTGCAGCAAACATGTATGGGCAGAGCACAAACAAAAGCATTTGAAGAGAAAAAACATGAAAGGTAGGACGCCACGTGGCAAGTAGCAGCTCACTACACTGCCAGTACTTAGGGGCTAGGTTCTTTGAAGTCTTTCTTGCATGTTCCACGCTTCATCTCATGTTTTCAAAAGTTTTTCTAGCGTAGAAATTGAGAAGCTAGGTAGGGTTATATATATATATATATATATATAAACATTGAACTTAATTTGCATCCTTTTATTTAAAAAAGAAAACCATATCTATAATTGGAATGAAGGTTAAGAATTTTTTCAAAAATAGCTATGATTATGCATGTAGGCACATGTATTTCATCAATTTCATATTATCGTATGTCAGATTTAGACCCTCAATTTTATTGGTAACCGCTTTATGAAAAACTCATTTATCTGTAAACATGAGCATCATTCGATTTGGTTTTTAACTCAATTTTTTTTAAAAAAAATAATTTATTTTAGAAAAATGAATTTATTTCTGTTTTTTTTTTTTTTGACTTTCACTAAAAATCAATTTTTTTATATTTATTATTATTGATCTCTTGATTTTTATTTGAATTTTAGTAGTTCGATTTAACATGTTTGAGCAATCAATTATTTTTTAATTATTATATACTTTTGATTAGATTAATCGACTTGCATTTAAATTTTGATATAGTATGACTTTGTGCTTTAGCTTATTTAAATAAATATTTATTTACTCTTATATAGGCTAATTTATATCATTTGGACTAGAGAAAGGATTGCATAATACAATTTTTTTAGCCTTTTACATTATTTTGAAATATTAAAAAATAGAAAAATAATAATTTGGTTTTAACCAAAAACTGAACCCAAAAAACAAACTTTCAAATTGAATAGTAATTCAATTCAGGTTTGACTTTTTTTTTTTTTTTTTAAGGTCCAATGAATTAAAAACTAAACCAAAATAGAAAAAAAAAAGATTGGGTTTGGTTTTTAACTCAAAAAAAATAAAAATAGAATCGAATTTCTTTTGATTTTGATCATTATTATTATCTTTTTTTTTTTTTTGAAAAATTTTGTTCGGTTTACACAAAAAATCAATTTTTGTTATATTATTGAACTGTTGATTGTTTTTTGAATTTTGATAATTTGGTTTATAACATATTTGAATAATTATAATTTATTTTCATTATGAATTTTAGATTGGATCAATGAACTTTTATTTATATTTTGATAACATATTTATATTATTTTAAAATTTTTGAAAAATTAAAAAGAATAGAAAACATTAATTTAGAAAAAAAATTAATTCGATTTTAACTCGAAAAATCAAACCACCCAAAAACCAAAATTTTAAATAAAATAATAATTAGATTCATATTTTTTAAGGATTCAGTTAACCAAAGAGTAAATCGAAATGTTAAAAACTAAACTAAAAAATGAGTAAATTATAAATTAATCCCTCTTGTTTTGAGAAATAAATTAATTAGTCATTCTAGTTTTAAAAAATATTTATTTAGTCTTTTTAACTAGTGTTAATCATGAAAATTTTAATATTTTTTATTTCATAAAATATCTTCTTATTCTTCTTTCCCATCAATCTTTTCATATTTTTACTTATATTTTATTCTTTTTCTATTTCTTTAAATAAAAAATCAAAATAAATTAAAAAATAACAAAAAGAATTAAACTATTAATTTTTAAAATTAGATGGACTACTTAATTTTTTTTCTTAAAATGAGATGGACTAACTTATAATTTATTCACTCAAAAACAAAATACTCAGCCTTCGCTTATCGCTACACTAATCCGCCATGTGCTTATATTGTCAAAAGTAGCTATTCCGTGTCGGCATTTGCTTGCTTCATCGATTCTTGGGCTTTGTAACTCTTGTGGATTTTGGCCCATCAATGACAAGGACAAAAGACTCACATTACTACTTGATTTGCTTTTTATCAAGTGGTAAGAAAAACTGGGTTGGAAACTAGTCATGTTGTGGCAATTAATTTTCCATAGTTATGGTCTTCTAATTGCTTTTTTTTTCTTTAATAATAATAATTAGATATAGAAATTAACAATAAAATAATGAGTTTAGATGAAATGTTTTTTTTTTTTCCTTCTTCTTCCTCTAGAAATTAGCGTGCAAAATTTCCTAAAATATTCACCTAGTTAATGGGTCTCAACTCTTACAAGTAAAATCTATAATAAAAAAAACTTTGAACTATACAACAGATTTTGTAAAGGTTCCCATGGAAGGTCATGGAGCATCGTGGGATGTTTCAAACACTTAATATCCAATAAATTATAATCAATTACAACGGATACCTTCATCATGACTCATTTTTCCTCATCAACATTTCATATATTAAATTTAATGTTGGACATGAATCTATTGGTGCAAGGGTTTCATGTCATAAACTTAAGAATCGGACTCTATGTTAGATTCCGGTGGCTTGATTCTGTTCATATATTGCTTCTAATGGTGGAAGCCCATCACCATTTCTTGAGTCAAGCTCATTCTATTCTAGTTGCCCATTCTTTATGTCCAAACTTCTATTAAAATCATCCAAAGTTGTAGATTTGAAAATCTAAAGCCCGCATTCGACGAGAGAACACGAAGTAATGAAAATTGAACAATACAAGAGCAATAAAAAGAGGAAAAAGCACATGGCACAAAAAACACTAGCAAAAGCTTACGGTATATATTTGGAACTTGAAACATTGGAGACACAAGTCTGCTTTAGATTAATAGATAATAGATATGTGTGCGAGTCTATATATGTATATATATATACTTTCAAGTTGAACTCTCGAAGTAAAATTGAAGTAACATGGTATGGAAAAAATATCAAATTGAAAAAAACATCATACTCCACTTTTAGATGTGGCAAGACATATGACTAGATATCTACTTAACATTGTGAAGAACCCAAAATGGCAAGACAAGGAGCTTTTCATTTAAACTTCAATAGCAAAATAAAATAAGGATAGTCTAGTTAATTTACTTTGTAATTTAAATTTTCCTGCCAAATTGTTGTTGTAACAAAATGCCGTTACAACCATTCCGGCGTTTCTTAAGCCAGTACCAAATGAGGAATCATACCTCCTTAAATTGAGGAGAAAATGTAATCATTGGGGGCATCTTTTAATTAGAAATTATTCCCAACATTCTTCTCCTTCTCTATTCTTTCTCTCATCCGTCATCTCTTCCCTTATTCTTCTTCTTTTCTTCCTTTAGCTTCTTATGTCCCGTCACACATCATTAGTAGGTTCCTTAAAAAGCGGTATCAAAGCTCTTCCGCACCATGGTTAAAGGTACTAGACTAAAAACTTTAGATGAGCAAGTGAGAAATCTTGAAAGTCGAGTTCAAACATTACAAGTCGATGTTATCGAAATCCACACCGATATGTTCACCCAAAACCAAGCCACTAAAATGTTCAAACAACACCAACAAGCCTTGTAAGGTTTAATGGAGGTTGTGAAAGCTTTATAGACAACAAACCATAAAGGCTCAAAAGGAGCTAGTAACTCTTCCCATAACATGATGGATACAGGGAAGGGGATCTTGCCTATACCCTGGACATTCAAACCCCACACACCAATCGTACCACTACTCCCCATTATTTTTACCAACACAACATCACACACCCTAATTCACCACCTCATTACCAAGCACCTAGTCAAGTATGTCCAAAAATGGATTTTTAGTATTTTGATGGGACTAATCCAAGGCTATGGGCTCGAAAACGTCGAAGGTATTTTAGGTATAACAAGTTAGAGAGGAGTCTAAAGTAGAGACTCGCTGCCATGTTTCGGACATTAAACCATATATATGGTATCAAGAACGAAAGAAAGATAGAGAGAGATTGGATCGAGAGGAGTTTGTAGAGGACTTATATAGAAAGTTTGGGGTATAAGAAGAGACTCGCTGCAGTGGAGGAATTTGACGAGTTGAAACAAACTAGAACCGTAGAAGAGTACTAAGAGAAGTTCGAGGACCCGAAATCCTTAGTGAAGAAGATGAATCTATGATTCACGAGAGGGTACTTGGTTAAAGTGTTCATAAGAGGGTCGAGGGGAGATCGAAGCTTGGTAGTAAAGAGATTCAAACTAATAGACCTTCGAGAAGGATTTGAGCAAGCCAAGCTCAATGAGGCCCTAAGAAAAGTCACACACCACCCCAACAAATCACCTAACATACACCATTTCCAATATCGAAACCTTCCACTATTGTCCAAAAACTAGCATACCCTACTTTAACTACCAATAGAAACCAACCTTTTTAACCTCAAAAAGAGTACCAAAACAGAGCCAAATAACAAGAATGAAATTAGGAGCGAACCCGGTAAATGCTTCAAATATGGAGATAGATATTTTTTAGGGATTTAATACAAATTGAAGCAACTGCTACACATGATGCTAGAAGAAGTGGAACAAGGAGGGCTACCTGGACAATGACAGGGTAGAGGATGAACGACCTACAATGAAAAAGGAGTTAGTAGGCTGAGGTGGATAAGTGGCATTTCTTTGCATGCCTTTAAGTGGTAAGGCTTCCCTTAATGCTTTCAAAATCAAAAGGTATGTGGGAAAAAAAAGGGCATTGGTATTATGATGATAGTGGGAGTACTAATAACTTCATTTATAAGGATCTTATGAAAGGGTTACAGACTTTATACCATACAAACCACACCTTGATAGTGACGATAGCTAATGGGACTAGAATGAAGAATGAGTTTAGGTGTAAGAAGTTTCAATGGGTGATGCAAGGTAGAGACTATGAGGCTAACCTATGAGTATTAGACTTAGGGGAGTGTGACATAGTACTTGGTTTAGATTGGATGGAAAACTATAACCCTATACATTTTGACCTTAAAAACAAATGGGTCATTATCCACCAAGGGAATGAAAAAATCACCCCGAAGGTGAAAAGAGAGAGGTCCCAT